GACTTGCTGCCACCATTCGAGGCACCAAATTTCGCCAGGCACTACGGAGTCTTCATTCTCCACCTCCGCCATCACCGCTGTCAGCAACGACAGCAGGTCTGCTGCACTTCCCGGGCATGGCCGAGAAGCTTGCCATGCACCACGTCCGTGTCACGGTGATGCAGCCTTCGCAACAACCAGCGCGCATTGGCCTTCCTGGCATTGGGCGACTGGACCATCAGTGCATTCTGGAGGTTCTGCAGGCATTGCCACCAATCCTCCTGGGTGTACTTGCTATCCTGGTAGCGGAGGCCCTTCACCATCATGAACCCCACTTCATCATCATCATCATGTCCTTCACCCTCACCTTCCCTGTCCCAATAAATGCCAGATTGCAGCAGGGCACTCTCCTCGATGTCCACCTCCACCATGCCATCCCTGCTTCGCCTCTCGGTTTCGATAGCCGCTTCAATCGTACTCCCCACTACCGTCATCAGCCTGTGGATCATCTGCTGGAACGCCAGGACCAACGTAAGCCGATCCTGAGCGCCATATGACCAGACCGTTTCAGTGATGGAGCTGATCGTGTACGACGGCAACACCGTTCCCGGCCTCGCGTCCACATCTTCAGCACTCGCGAGTCCCAGCATCTCCACCCACACATTGACCGCCTCGGCAAGGGACATAGGTGGCAGTGCTGGCTCCTCGGACTCCCGTACCCCAGCCGGAATGGCCGGCTCAGCAGGTCTCCCCTGGGCTCCTGCTTCAGCCGGAGGCGTGGCCGGCTCCCGGACAGGCCCCGATCTGGACCCCGACGCCGGTTCCTTCCCCTTGTCCTTGGGCTTGAGGAACGGACACTTCTTGGCAACCGGTTGAAGTCTCCGAACCTCCGTGGTGGTTTTCACTGGCGCCCTCCGCAAAGGTTCCCTCACTGATCCCTCAGCATGTCCCCGCGAATGCCGTGGAGGAGCTTGGCGACGACGGCGATCCGGCTTTTTCAACCATTTCTTATCCACCTTCAACGACGGGAGTGCGAAGACGTCACTCTCCTCCTCGTCACCTGTAATCTCCATGTCCGTTTCGTCCTCCTCCTCTTCCATGACTCTCAGTTGCGGCAAAGCCATCCCCCGCTGCACATCGTCCACCTCCCCGGAGCATCCGTAGTAAAGCTCGGCCTCCATTTGAAAAGCCCACATCGTCAGCCCTCTAGGTCGTCGGTGCCCCCTATCGTATCCCTGCAGCTGGCTGCCGAGGTCCTCGAGGCAGCCCATTGCATTTCGAACATAGCTTTCACCACCCCGAGCCAGCACATACTTGGTCAAAGCCGGCAGAACACCTGTGATATCACATTGTGCTTGGACCCAGCCCTCAACATCGAAGAGCGCCTGGGCACACCAAACCTCCCACGTTGTTGCCCTGCGACTCAGCCTCCGAGGAGGCTCAGGGGGAAGCACCCACGCTGGTCGAGAGGAGCTCGAAGAAGCACGTTCTCCCAAACCGTGCAATTGAGCCACCAGCATTGGTAGCTGCCGGCGAAGGTTGAAGTCCTCCCGACGCCTTTGCTCTCTCTCTCCAACCCCCATGTTCACGTCGAGCTCGACCTCAAAGTCATCCAAGTCACCCGCCAGGTCCTCAGCCTCGATTTGTTCATGTGGATGGATAGTAGCCATGAACTCCCGGTGCGCCTGTTGATCCACGTACCTGCACCAGGTCTGTACTTCCTCACTCACCACTCCTGGCACAGTCGAGCTGCTTTCCGACTCATGCAAGAGTGCCTCCAGGTTCCCGAGCAGGTTGAGGCTCCAGTGGAAGTAGGGCACGTCTGGTCTGCTGCCGATCACGAACCAGAGGTAGGTCACGACCTCTCCCATGTCCACACCCCGGGCTTGCATAATCATGAGTTCATTGCAAGCATGGTGGAACCAGAACGGAGGCCAGTGTCCAAAAGGGTCATCAGGTTGCCCTCCAACAGAGCTACCCCCCATAGCCAGTACGGCCAGCCAACGTCCATGACCAGGGAGCATCATAGCCCACCACCAGCCAAAGTCTCCCATCCCTTGATTCACCGCCACCATTCCGGGGTTCGCCTGCACATACTCACACTCCTGGCAAGGATCACACACTCCCTTATCATTCCATTGAGCGAACGAGTTCTCCCATCTCGGGATCACCGGGTCCTCCTTTGCAATCACGAACTTATGCATAATCGCACCAAGGAGCCCGGCAAAGACCATGATCCACATCCCTTTGGGAGGATGGTAACCAAAACACATGTAGAAAACGTACATCGCCATCAGCGAATCAGGCGAAAGGAGTTGCTCAGCAAAGCCCAAGCTGCGGGTATCTCAGGGGTCCAACCCTTCACCACACCCTCAGCCCTGACCCTAAGCAAATGCAGGAAGCGAAAGTTGTCGGCCAGAAGTCCAAGGCAAGTCGTTCTCCCGAATCCACTCATCACGCAACCCTCTCCAACCCTGACGATCCTGAGCAGCTTCCCTCCAGAACCCTTTGCATGGTTTGTTCATACGTTCCTCCATCACCGACAATCTTGCAAAGTGGTGCCCTCCGTGCGAGATACCCGAGGCTGATCTCTGTTGATGTCGCCACCACGATAGGGTTCGAAATTGGTCCAGTAGGGCACTAAGGGGCGGGGAATCAGCCAGCACGGCTCTCGCACGATGGCCTGCATAATCCCACCATCTACCGAGCCACAGGGTCGACCACCTACTGAAGCCCCAACGATGCAAGACGTACCGCGCTGATCGAACTGATCGTTGTTTGAACTGGACCCACCCTTCATCAGGATATTTAGAATACCTGAGCATCCAACTGAGCAGCATCGCCTGCATCGAGTTGAGAAGCCCCAGAGCGGCCCGATCCGGAGGCAGAGCAGCAAGGCACCACAAGCCAGCACCTGCCACCACACGCTCAAAGAGGGCCAACCGTCCAGGAAGTGACGTCTTACACCTCAAGAGATTTTTGATACTCCAGAATTTAGTCTTTGCCCTTGCCAAGAGTGGCTGAATCAGCTCGCACGAAGACATCCCCTTGCGCATCCGAAGCCCCATGATCTCAATAGCATCCACACTCTTCAAGCACGTCCCTGCAACCGTCATGGTGTGGGCCCCAGCAACATCAGAAGAGCAATACAGCTGGCATTTCTCAATGTTGACCTGGAGGCCGTACGTGGCCAGCACCCCCAGAAACTGCTCCAGCTTGTCAGCCACAACCCTGGTGTCCGGACCCCACAACAGCCCATCATCCATGAACAAAGCATTTTCATGTTCAAAGTCCTGAAAGATGTGCCGGCCTCTTGCCCACTGGTGCTTCGAAGCTGTCTCCTCCAATGCCTCCTCCATAAGGAGACTGAAGAAACTCGGGCTCTCCACCGCCCCCTGCTTAATCCCTGTGAAAAGCTCAAATTCCGACAGCCCCCAAGGCGAAACCAAAGTCGCTCGAGTATCCAAGATAAGTTTCTCCCAACACGCCATCTCGTGGGAGTCCCCCAATCTGGACCGAAGCTTGGCAATTAATCGACCCTTGTGCACACTATCGAAGGCCTTCCGGATGTCGACCTTAACACACACGATGGGCCTGTGCCACTCTCTGCAGAGCTCTAAGGTACGCCAAATGCTGAAGACATAATCCGCACACTGGCGGTGTGGGCGGGCGCACTGCGCGGGTGAGTGAGCACCAAGCAAAGGCAGACAGCGGTTAAGCAAGAGACGAGCAAAAAGTTTGGAAGTCCCGCTGCTGAGAGCGATCGGCCGAAGATCTCGAGGGCCCTTTGGTGCCGGAATCTTAGCCAACAGTATCAAGATCACCCGATTCCAGTCTGTAGGCACATCACCCGAAGCAAGGATCCGCGAGAAGAATTCAGCAAGATGCGACCCTCCCCCTTCGACCTCAAGAAGGCCCTGGAACAACTCCTTGCACGTACCGTCAACTCCGACTGACTTGCCTCCCTTCATCTGGGTCACCGCCATCTTGACTTCATCAACCGTAAATGCCCTCACCACCCCCGTGGCCTTGACGACCAACGGTGTACGTTTGCCACGGTACTGCTGCTTAAGATGCTTCTCCACCACCACATGTGGGTCCTCCGTCTGATGATCTGCAAACCCTGAGTCCCAAGACGCTTGCCCTTCAAGTCTGAGATCCCTAATAGCCCCCCAATCGCATTGAGAAGCTCGGCGAACCCTCTCCTGCTCCCAACTTCGGCGGGCCGAGCGTCTGGCCTGAAGGGCACACTTCCACTTTTCCTTGGACTTCGACGCCTTAGCCTCCCTGAACGCCTGCTTGATCTCTGCACTGTCCCGGTACGCACGAGAGGGGACTGGGCGAGTATGCATCCTGACGAACGGGTTTTAGGGTTTAGGGTTTAGGGTTTAGAATTAGGGTCGGGTTTTTAAGAGCTATGTATGGTAATAGATAGTTTATATCAGTTTCGAAGATGCACACCGACCACATGTGATGCCATCCGTGTCCTGCTAAGATTAGCATAACAATAGACTGGACATGGATAGCATCGCATGTGGTCGGTGTGAATCTTTGAAAAGGGTCACTTTAAAACTAAACCCTACACCCTAAACCCCTAGGGTTTAGGGTGTAAGGTTTAGCCCTAGAGCCCTATGCCCTAAACCCTAAACCCCAATAAGAAATGCCAGGTCAGTCGATGCTTCGCGAAGTCCTTCTCGAACGTCAGGGCCTAAGTCCGTGCAAGGTTTCGGTTTTTGGTCTTGGGGTTTGGGCTTTAAGGTTTTTTGGGGTTTAGGGTTTAGGGGTTTAGGGTTAGGGTTTAGGGTCTAGGGGTTTAGGGGTTTAGGGTTTAGGTTTGGGCTTTAAGGTTTTCTTTGCGACAGTGATGCAGAGAAACTGTTAGAGAGTTTGACGCGCAGCATGCATCATGAGCTTCATGCCAATGCATTTGGGCTTGGATTCAGAGTCCCCGAGTCCCAGGAGTCCCCGACTCCTGACTTTTTGTCCCCGAGTCCCGGAGTCCCAGACTCCTGACTTCAGCGATGGGGGCAGTGAACTCGCAATTCTTCATGCAGGTGACCAGCGGAGGGACCGTCGCATGCTTCCAGCGCGCCGAGGTCGTACTGGCAGCGCAGCTGAACGGCGATTGGATCGCGATGTCTGTCCTCAAGGATAAGTCTTGCGAGCCTAGCTCAGTACAGCTGCCGGTGGATGTCGCAGGCAGGACTGGGATCAAAGTGTACGAGTGTCTACTAATTACAGTTTTGGGTTGAGGGTTTTAATTCATGATGTTTCCCTTGAGTCAGTGTCATGTGCCCTCAGGTGGGGATGTCAAGTTTGCCGTGGTCACCACCGAGAACGACGAAGTGATTGCACTCACCGAGGCAACGATGATGCCCGATCAGAAGTTCCCTGTCGTCAGTTCACGACACAGACTGGCACTTTCGGCATCTCCATCCTGGCCGTCCTGAATTTGCGCAGTGGCCCGAGTATGCAGACACCGACCCCGAAGACAGACACCGGAGTCCCAGAGACAACTGTTTCGGACCCACCGGTGGGGCCGGCGACGAGCAGCGCAGACTCGCCAGTGACAAAGCCTGGGCCAGACTCGCCAGTGGCAGAGGCAGGGGCGACGGAAGCCAAAGTGGAGGACGATGCGCCGATCGTGGAGGATGGTTCCGAGGTAGACTCTGAGTTTGTGCGGGTGTCTGAAGTCCCACCCTCTGAGCCCAGAGTCCCCGACTCCAGAGTCCTCGACGACTCCAGAGTCCCAGACTCAGAGCCTGCGAACCTCGAGAGTCCACGGCCCTATGAGGGCTTGCTGCAGATACAGTCGAGAAGGGCTTCTGCAATGTCGGCGACACGATCTACACCAACAGCGGCAGCCCAGCCACGGCTCGACCAGGTTGGTGAGTCGGAGCAGGACATCACATCCATGCCGACAAGCCAAGTGGAGCACATCCTGCAGAGCGGCGGCACCCTTCCTGGCTGGGACCCGCACGGCGACCCTGTGAAGGACCTCGGGTACGTGAAAATCTTTTACTCTGCGGCCACCAACAACTACGACCCAGCGACACTGTGGCCGACTTGTACACTGGAGACTGGTTTGAAGACCAAGCTGATCGACCTTCGGGACCAGTATGTGGCGATGCACAACGATGGGTCGATGCTGAGTCTGAGTCCCGAGTCCCAGTACGATCTCTCGGTGCTCGAGGTGTGGTGCCGCCACCTGTACAAAGGTGTCGTTCCCCATGGGCCGCTGCTCGGCTGGGCCAGGATGAACGGGCACGAGCTGTACTACCACATCTACGGCGAGAACAACCCGCCGTTCCTGATGGCCAGGGTTCCGGGCGGCTCGTACAACACGCAACATGCCTGAGATATCAAGCTGATGAAAGCAAACCTGTAAGTTCTAGGCGGTTGTTGTTGCACATGTCCTGTTCTGACCCAGGTACCCGTTCTTCCTGCACGCCTTCGACATCATGGCGGGAGTCAAAGGCATGTTCATGCAGGCTGGCCTCTGGAACTGGTGGCCCAGCATTTCCCCGATGAAGGCCGTATCATGGAGGATGTGCTTCCGACGTACTGCTCGCTGAAGATTGACCACTCGGGTTACATGGAGCGTGGGCCCTACGAGCATCTTGTCGGTGCCCCCCCGAACTCCGAAGAGTCCTTCTTCTTTGACTGCTCGCCCACCACGACTTTCTACATGCAAGCCAAGGGTCAGTTCATCTATGCCATGAACCTTGGCTTCGAAAAGTGGGAAAAATTCTATAAACATTTAAAATCAGTCTGGTTGTATGCAAAATGACTCAGGACCAAGAAGCCCCGCAGCGAGATGACCGTCGGTTGGATCCGCAAGGCCGATGTCCCTGGAATCAAGGAGTTCCAGGTACTGGGTGTGTTTCCAATGGAGGCGCCGAGCCTGCAGGGCATTGCGAAGTTCAAGTACCACTCCGGCATCTACTGCGAGGAGGCCGGTGTCAAGAAGGCCTTGTTCCTGGAGCTGCGCGACTACCCGGACAACATGTACTGCCGGGGAGGACGGCGACCGCCGAACGTGCTGCAGCTCTTCGCAATGCACCTGGTGCCCGCCGAGATCAAGAAGTCACTGGTGACGAAGGCACCGGCAGGGCAGAATTTCGAGCCTCGTCGCAGCAGGCCTGGATTTGTTGTCCAGGGCGACAGGCCGTTCAAAACCTGTCCGCACGGATGGGTCTGGCAGGAAGCCTACAACGGCAAGATCACGTTCTACTACGTGGACGATGGCCAGACGTACGAGTTCCACCAGCTCAGCCCGGACTCCAATGTGCAGTTCTTTGACCACGAAAAAGGGGAGTACGTGGTGGCAAGCGGCTACACAGGCTCGTGGCAGCATGACACGGTGACGAGTTTCGTCGGCGACTTCATCCGTCAGTACTACTACGACGACCAGTAGCTCACGGCGCCTTCCAGCTCAGACAGAGACAGAGTCCCAGAGTCCCTGAGTCTCTGAGTCTCTGAATCTCTGAGCCCTTTTCATTTCAGCCCAATGGACCAGAGCCCCAAAGCCCCAGGAGTCTCTGCCAGGACTTTCTGGAGAAGCACAGGACCAGAGTCCCAGAGTACCAGAGTCCCCGAGTTTCTGAGTCTCTGAGTCCTGATCATTTCAGTCTCAACTAACCTACCATAAAGCCGAAAGCTTCGGGATTCGATGATTCGCTTCGTGAGGGCTCTGGTCCTGGTGCTGTCGGATAATTGCAACCTGAACCTTGCCATTTCCTTGCACCTCGCTTGGGATTGTGTTTGAAGATTTATGGCGAACTAATCACGACAGTTCGAGGTGCACGTTGGCATGCACAGTGGTTACGGCCATCTTTTACACAGGACGTGCACGTACAACGTGCCATTGAAAAAAGCCGACTGAAATTCTGCTCCGCCCATTTCGCATTGAATTGAAGCTTGCATCACTCCTCCCCACGAATCCACTGCCAAGGTCAGTTTCGCATCTTGTCCACCGGCAAGGTGCTGCTCGGTGGATTGGGTTTTAAGGGTTTAGGGTTTGTCTTGGGCCCTAAACCCGAAAACCTGAAATCCTATATGGATGTGGTAAGCTTGATCATAGGGCTCAGGGTTTAGGGTTTAGGGTCGTTTAGGGTTGTTTTGGGCCCCTAAACCCGAAAACCTGAAATCCTATATGGATGTGGTAAGCTTTGATCATAGGGCTCAGGGTTTAGGGTTTAGGGTCGTTTAGGGTCGAATAGTAAGAACTTTGGGATAGAGGGTGTGTGCAGTGGGCCTTAATTAACTCAAAACCTTAAATGGAAACATGTGCTGACTTACGTAAAAGCGCGAAACCCATAGACTCTAAACCCCAAAGCAAAACTCTAGCAAGCTAGGCTTTCATAGTTAAGTTTCATATGTTTTCCAAGATTCACGGTGACCTGAGTGTGATAGATTTGCTTAGTAAAAGACTTAGGTGGGCTTCGCACTCAGGACAGCCGGGATCTTGGAAACAAAACTAGGTCGTCAAGCCTAATGGAACAGAAGACCTGTTTTAAGTAAATACAGCGAAAATAGACCAATTAACTTCACCGGAATTAGACCCACATCGCCCCAACACTCTTAAACGGGGCCAGGTGACTGGACCTGAAACACAAAACCCCTCAATCGTTGAAGTGCTTGCCAGGAGCAGCCAAGAGCAGCAGATGCATCCGAAGAGGCCTCGGCGGGTTTAGTGGTGTTTCCGTTTAGCATAAATAAATGGCCATGGTCGTACACATTGAAGTGTTCCTCGGGGTTGCAGGTTTAAAGATTGTCATTGTTTATTCGGAAAGTACTGACGCGTTGAACAGAATAGTAGTTGCTTTTGGGTTAGGGAAGGCGGATGCTATTTGCACAGCTCTGGCAGTTTTCTGCTCATCTGCGACTCTTGATACTCTGGGACTCTGCGACTCAGCCGGCATTTGCCAGCCTTACCAACGGGGAACCGGTGCTTCGTAGGGTTCCCTGCACACCATTGGCCGGGTGTGAGGCTTTGTTGGCATTGTGGTCAAGCAAGTCGCTGCTTTGAGGCCAACGCACCAGCACCAGGTGTATGACAGCTGAGCGATACGCTAAAGCATCAGCTGGGGCAGCGACTGCTTGAACCCCCCTCCGGGAAGCTGGGGGGTGACGCGGGATGCGTGCAATCTCAACTTGGATGGGAGGCCGACTGTGTCCGGTAAGCTGTTGTGCGCCAATCGCCCATGTCATTGCAACCTCTTCGACACAATCTCCCCGGTACAGAAGGAGCTCCAACAGAGTCCGTAGCAGCCAGCTTGAAGCACCAACAAGCCAATGACCAGGTAATATCCCTTTGACAGACAATAGAGTTAACCGCAATGGTCAAGGCAGCTACGAACGTCGTAACCCTTGAACATTGCGGTTATACTATCCGCTCAGCTTCGGGATTAGGGTTTAGGGGAGCGACGGCGTGGTGATCTTTCGGCGGCGAAAGATCACCACTCTGTCGCTCCCCAAACTCCAACACAGAATGGTCGCCTTTTGGATTGGGGCTGTGAAGCTCCACGCCTCCACTCCCGAAAACTCCAACCACAATTGTCACCCTTGCAATTACCGCTCAGCAGCAGACAGAGACCACAACACAGAGCTCGTCACGCTTCTTGCTCTTCTTGAGATGTTGTGTAAGGGGAGTGCAGGCTTCGGGATCTTTCAGGCTGCTGAAAGAGCCCCAAGCCTGCACTCCCAAAACTCCAACCACAATTGTCGCCCTTGCAATTACTGCTCAGCAGCAGACAGAGACCGCAGCACGGAGCAGACAGAAACAAACTCTGCATTCCAGTCTTCCCCAATCCTATAAACCCTAAACCCCAAAGTCAGCTCCATGCGATCGCCAACCGAGGCCTGCCATATGACACATACAGCAGGCCTCGATTGGCGATCGCACATGACATGCCTGACGCAGGTTGCCCTCGATGTGACGTGCTGCAGCGCCACCTTGCCAGCTGCAGCTCAGGCCGGCCGGGTGATAGCTAATGCAAATCAAGAGCGACAGCGAGGCAAGGCTAGACCTCGCTGTCGCTCTTGATTCGCACTAGGAGCAGTGCTCCATTGGGCGAACGAGAGGATTTGAGACATGGTAATACCATGTCTCAGATGCTCTCGTTCTTCACCAGAGCAGGTGTACTTGTGCTCTTAATCCTAGAGCAGCTCAAAGGGGAAATTCCAGTCAGGGCTCTGGGCCTCTGGGATTCAGGGACTCGGTCATTCAGGTACTCGGATTCGTTTCTGAGCTGCAGCACAGCGGGTAGTCCAGTTCTCGTAATCCTAATGTAATGCAACTCAAGAGCAGCAGCGAGACCTCGCTGAGGCATCACTGCTGTTCTTGAGTTGCACCACATCAGCTGCAGTTGTTTTCTCGGCCATGATTCTGCAGTCTGCGACTCTGTGTAACTGTAGTCTTGAGCCAGTCGTGAAAGCACACATGCAGACAGACATGTTTGAGACTTTGGGATCAATGCGAATGGCTGTTGTTTCAGAGCCTCACAACTCAGATTCCCTGAGTCCCTGAGTCTCCGATTCCCTCGCGGAGTCACAGAGTCTCACCCGCCGAGCCTTTAGATTCCAATGGCACTACCTGTGGGCAGCTTCCGAGCAGCGGACAGGGAGTCAATGGAGAAGGCTGCCGAAGGCCACCCAAAGCAGCCAGGAGCAATTCGACCTCCACCTGGCAAGGCTGCACTGGCACAGGCAACGCCAAAGCTAAAGCCTCCTCCGAAACAAAGGCCGGCAGCATCTCGGCTAGACTCTGTAAACGCTACACCTATAGAAGCTAGGAGACTGTGAACCCTAAATCCTAAACCCCTTTAAACCCTAAATCTTTTCTTCTTCTATGTATCATACAAGGTTTTCGAATGATTTAAATCACAAGATTGAGGTAGTTCCGGCCAGAATCATCACGAAGACAGAGCCGGAGACTCCAGAGGCCCCGGCACCGGAAGATGTACTTCAACTGCACATGACATTTGTTTGCTATCGTTTTTCTCTGTCTCTGGATCCTAATAATGGTTCTGTTCTTCTGTTTTCGAAAGCCCATTTCAGGTGCCAACTCCTGTTTATCTCTATCCAACTTCGCCCCCTTCACTACAGCGACAAGTGAAAGAAGAAGATGCTCAACATGGCAATGTTCCGGAGCAGTCGCAGCACTTGGCAAAACCAGTGCCAACAGGTCCCACAAATGACACAGATTCCATCGACCTCGTCAGTCCAGTGGAGAACCCGGAGTCCCGTGAGTCCCCTGATTACCGCGAGTCCCAGACCTTGAGGAAGAAGGAAGGGGAGGAAGTAGCACCAGGACCAGCAGATTCACATGGAGCAGCTCCGGATGGCACAACCATGGGCCCACCGGGCCCACCGGGCGAACTGGAAGAAACCAAGAAAGACACTGCGGAAGAAGAAGCAGCGGCGGAGAGACCACCACTGCGGAGGCCCGTCGTTCTCAATTCCACCCTGAACTCCCCCCCCCCCCCAATATGAACTGATTCGGCAGGTCTGGTGCATCCGAGAAGCTCCAAAGCACACCGGACAAGAAGAATGCCGTCCAAGATGCCCGGCCAGATTGGGCACAGCGAAGTTTCAATTCTCCAGATTGGTCACAGCCGATTTTCAGGTCAATTTCAATTTATTCTGAGGACGATGACCCTGGGCCGCTGGGCAGTGCTGCCGAGGATGCCAAGGAACCACCACCAGCACAGGCAACGGAAGAAGGGCGACACAGTGTCAGCAGAAGTGACAGTGAGCAGAAGACCAGGAGCGCGTCCAGGCGAAGAAGCAGTAGCAGGAGGAGCAGGAGGAGCAGGAGGAGCAGGAGCCGGAGGGCCAGGAGCAGGAGGAGCCGGAGCAGGAGCAGGTGAGACATGCACAAAGCAGATTGAACATGGTCTTGCGATCAGTTGTTCGTATGGAGCAGGCAGGCCAAGGAGCCAAGAAAGCAGCATCCCACCTGGAGCTTGCCGCAGGCAAAGTGACCAAGTACTCCAAAAGATTGGTGGAGAAGCAGGGGGAAACGTTGGCACTTGCACAAGAGCTGCGGGATGCTTTCGGTATAGAGCGAGAACAGATATCAACAAGCAGTGAAAAGTCTGGTGGTAGCTGATTCCCAGATTTCCAGACTCAGAGTCTCAGAGTCTCCAAGAGACACTGAGATTCTTCGAGTCCCAGAATTTCCGAGTCCCAGAGTCCTGAGTCCCTGAGATTGAATCCAAACATTGCATAAACCGGAGAGGTTTCTGTGCTCAGGGCTGTTTGCTTGGATGTTCTGGAGACTCTGTGTTGACACCGACCGAGTGCAGTGACAGATCGCTTGTTGCGCAAGAAACAAGAGATGCTGCCTCTGCATTGCCTTCACACTCCCACCCCCATTGAACGTTGAACCTTATGTAATTCCATCACTTAGCC